GTGAAACTCAATGTCTCCGTACCATCGAAAAATTCACGGAGACTATGAAAAATAACTGAAGATTCATACATCACAGAATGAGAATAATATTTTACTAAATGTCTCCAAAAATGTCAGCCAGAATCTTATGAAAAAACTGCCCAGAGTGTAAACGTTAGTTGTGACGTGTTTGAAAAATCACATCTGTTTTGGCATCGTGAAATACGCCAGTAATTCTTTAAAAATGGCCAGGTTTTAGTGTTGTGAATAAAATTTTTTATTCTAAGAATGGAGTGATTCAATTCTGAAGAGTTAGGAACCAGCAAGCAGCTCTTTCGTTCTTTTTGAAAATCAGCATGGGTACGACTCTCTTTTGGACAGAGTTCAATTCGCAACATTTCGGCTCATAATGGAAGGTTAAAGCGCGACTGCTACACGACTAAAGGTGCCAGTGAATGAACAACCAGTTTGGTGACGAAGCGTTTTCAAACCAGCTGTCATGTTCGGCGAACAAGTCAGCAACCAGAGACGAGAAAGTTGTACAGTGATCCTTGGTTCTTCGGGGCAGAAGCGGGAACCCTCTGTGAAAAAGTCCAAAATGTGTTTGTACACTCATCATCCCATGTCATGCTAAGCATTTGGAGTCGCGATAAGTAGGCATCCAACCACGCGTTTGCGGGACACGGTAGATTCACCAACCCCTTCGAGGGCAAAGTCAAAGTGGGTTCCCTGATCCTCATTGAAAGAGATGTTCTCTCCATAACGTTTTTTCACTGAATATCAGCTGATGCGAACACCTCAGTGACATTATCAAGAGGTATTCTCTTTTCAAAAGTACTTGTATGGAACTACTGTCCTGAGTTGAACTGAGATGAGTACTGACTTTCATCACAGTACCAGGTTACATGGTTTTCAAATTTTTGTGCCTTGCTCATGAATTGTATGCGTCTGCAAGTTGTTCCCAATTTTTCGGACTTAGAGGGTTCGACCTACGCCGAATCCAGAAGATATCTCCGTGTCATTTGGTGAGCGCCTACTCAGTACATCCTCTGGTCCATGCTCCTCGCTCGATGCAAGCAACTTTGTTCCAACTTGGAAAGAACAACAGAAATTAAAAAAAGTCTGTCTGACTGTAATTTTTATTTTCAAAGACGCCTAGTACAAACCCAACTGCAGTACAAACAATTTGTCAAAGACTGCACAGTTCTCAAGGTCAGTAATTTATTGTAAAATTTCACTCTTTTTTGGTCAGACTCGCCCTTAGAAAAAACGAACAGGGTCAGTCTGGGCGTGGTATGTTAGTCGAAAGCCAAAAAGTAGCATGTGATAAGCCAAACATCTCCGTTTTCCACCATAGCCTAAGCCAGCCATTAGACCCGGTTAATAGTGCATACCTGTGTTGCCATGGCAGCAAAGTGTGCGGCAATCGTTGCAAAAAGGTAAACTCCAAACAACACAGAGATCAATATTTAATTTCGTGTTATGTGTTCTTGTGTACGACAGTGCTCTTTTGCCCGCACGAAAAACCTGTGTCAAAACGTCTTGAATTGTCGAGTATATCTCGCTGACAAGCCCGTCCGTAGACTCATTCTTTCTCCCTGCGGACCAAAGTGTAAGCAGCTTTACAGTTCGTTTCAAGCATGTAATTTGTTACGAAAGTGTGAACCAGAATTCCGAAACTGAGCAATTTATGATTCTGGTAAAATAGAGGCTGTTCCAGTTAGACACGATGGAGTATTGGGTTGACTTCCCTCGATTTCGTGGGCGAAATGTGGTGCTCAACTATCATCGAGGATAACCCACCTGGCTGTGGAGTCGTGACTATCTGATCAGTCGGTCCGAGGCAGCAGATGGGAAAACCAATCACATCGTCTGAGCATCTTCACCTGGTCAGCTGCGATGATTCAGCGTCTCTGAAATGCACAGTGCACCGATGGTGAGCTCTGATGTAAGAAAACCCAAGCTCGTTGCCAGAATACATCCATCAGCAAAACGGAGGACCGTCCAAACGAGGGTGAGGATATTTCGAGCTGAATAGCCAGCTCGCAACGTACGCATAATCTCGAAAAATTCAGAACAAATGTGATTTGATTCTGTTTCTCCCCAGCATGGAGTATTCATCAGATGAGATAAAAAGTGTCGAAAAAGCGCTATTCCGTGATGGGTTTGGATATCAAAGCTGGGTGAAAAACTCCGCTTCGGTTTCTTGACGCCACCGAGAATTTTATTATAGAAACGAACGAAAGCGTTTTTGATATGTATGCCGCCGCTCTGCTCAGGAGAGTCAAACACCCGAAGCATAGCTGGGCTACGGTGAACAAGTCTGTCGCGATGCTATCCTGATGTCGAGATGCGTGACCGTGTGACAAAGCAAAATGGACGATGTGTCAATCATATCTTTCATGGATGTTCATCGCACGCCAAGGTTTCATGTGTTGACGCGCCCATGAATTGGTCATCAGCGACCGGGAAATGCGTGTAGGCAGTGTAGACGTGCGTAATCGCATTGAAGTTAATTGTGTTCGCCCACTGTCTTGCACATTCGACTGTCCTCATTGAGTAGCCGGTGTTCTTCACTCATGCGACATTGTGAGCACCAGTTCCCGGAATTCAGTTCTTCTTCTTACTGCCTGCACGGGTAAAACAAGCAAACAGCAGTTCGGGTAGTTATCATTTTGAAGAGAGCTTCCATAAATTCAGCGATTGTTTACCAAACCACTCTGAAACAAGGGCAAACCAGCAGTTCGATACGAATTGGGCCCATCTTGTTGCCGATAATTATGAATGTGCGACCCCTTGGTTGTCCGATCCCTGAATCGGACATCTGATGATACATGTGAGTAATCAAGAAAAAAATGATTGATCAACGTGAGCGAAATGCAGTCATTTGCAAACAAATCTGGTTTTGCGGGAGACTCATCTGAAACCCAGCTGAATCCCCTCATTCATGATATTTCCAAGAAACTGAATGTACTGCACAAGGCAGCCTCATGTTTCAGTTGATACGATATTCGAGAGATTGCGACGCATACATAGACGTAACAAACTACTCATAAGGTTGCTAATTTCATGCAATTCGGGTTTAAGTAGAAACACGGAGACTGTGCTCATATGATGAACCCCAAGAAGGACGAAATTGGTCGTGGGCTGTCGAAGAATTTTCAGCAACCTTATGAGTGGTGCATCAGTTTGTCAACATTTTTGGTAGATATTTGAAGTTGCGCCCCTAATTAAGGCTTGATTTTGGGCAGAACCAAACATCCGCATCAAGAAACCATAAAAAGTTTTCTTATGGGAATCGATACACAGGAATTGTCAATGTTACATCCTTTCGATGTTTCCCAAAGGGACAACCAGGTTGCCAAAGTCTAGATAAAAAAAAACAGTCGAAAAGCTGAGGTTAAGTTCGAACCTCGGACTATTCGGTTGGTAGTCCTAAACCACCTCTAGTCCGGTGGCTTCAAATCACCAGTAACTGATCCTTGTAAATTAAACCCGTTTTAAATCTTTTGGAACAAACCTCATTAAACCCGAGTTGGTAGCTAATCACTGAACGATATCGCCCAGATAAAACATCGAACCTTTGAAACTACCGTTTCTCAACAACGACAGTGACGTGACAATTGTACGACTGCTTGTGTTGCCCTCTGCAAAAGGGAATTTTACAAAACCAACTGTTTAGCCAAAAAACATCCTTGCTCACATGTTAAAATACACGATCTCCATAACTTGGCTACTCAACTGAGGAAACTGTTCTGCGGACAGAGGTCAATCCCCCCTGAAACTGGCTACGTAGATTCCGAATGACGTTAATTATCTCGGGTCTTCAGGCTCCCAGTGTGTTACACCCAGACTTCTCCGTCCAAAGTAAATTAATATCTATCACATACTGCTCTATGCACAAGAGTGATGAAGCTGAACTTGTTCAGTGAGTCATTGTATTACTCATAAATATTATCAGCTGACCTGTATCATAGCTCTGGTAGCCTTGAGAAGAAATTCCTAGAACGATGCAGTTGTGATATTTGCGGTATTTTTTTCAAGCAAGTAACAACATGGTGCAGCCATATCGCACTCCGTTTTCATGGCACACAAGCTTCTATCCCACCTGTTCCTTTCTTGTTGCACATCATCAACACTGCGCATGTAACGAAACTGTGGAAGTTTCGAACCAGCCACCTTACGGCCACGACCGGCTGAGCAGCAGTGTGGTTAACTCTCACGTAGACAAGTTACAGCGGCCCTCATACTTCAATTATGCAATCCACATCAACTGGTCACATGGAACGGATCCTCATACGAAGGTGTTAATTGTTTTATGAGCTACTCTTCCCCCGCTGGTAGTATGTGAAGATCTAGAAGTTTTCAAGTGAGCTTTCGATCCGTAGGTGAAACCAATCTATTCTGAAAAGTTAGGATCCACTGAGCAGTTGTTTCGTTCTTACTGGACTTTGAATTCAGCGACCTAATTTGGTCTCTCGGTTGGACCTCCACCGTCACGAATAGACTGGGCCTTACCTTAGTGTGACGGTTTGCGCACCTCAGGAATCCATTCAGCTACACTGGGGAGTTTTCCCGCGACACTCACAGAGTCTCTCATACCAGGTTAGTCAATGGTAAGAGATTTGACAAACGGAGTTCCCTGGTTCTCAAGGTTGGGGGTTGGAACATGTGGTGACTCGTTCCGTAGAAATCGTAATGCATTTGCATTTCCCGCCAAATACCGCTCCCTTGCGGTTATAATTTGGTCGTGGACCCCAGTCGCCCTCCCGTCTAAATATGGACGCCCTGGCAGTATCCCAGCTTACTTACAACCATGATATCTATGTCTAACGATAAACTCATGGCTCGCCGGCCATCGCGCGGTGCCATCAGCCGAGTCACTTTACTCGCTGCATACAGCAGGACGAGTGAGAGAAAAGACTACTGCTGGCGCCTCCCTTCTTTCTCTTCCAGACACTTTTCCCTCCCCTTCTCTCCACCTCATAAAAAGCTCTCTCCTTGTAGGCCAAGCACGGTAGCAAAGCATCGGCGGTGAACACAGATGTGATGCTGTCAATGATGATGATGATGATGATGACGATGATGATGATGATGATGATGATGATGATGATGATGATGACGATGATGATGATGATGATGGTGGTGATGATGAGGTACCTCACAGTTAAACCGATTTGTCGTCTAAAGCATTGAACCCGTGACGAATTCCTCGATTGTGCCACATCCTGCCAGTCCACGCATTATTATCTTTGCGGAAGAGGAACATATTCGTTCAAGATCCATCACAATACTTGCAGTATCTACCGCAAATTACGTAACAGAACATTCCTCTTTTCTCAACAGCTAATTCAGTTATCATTTTAGATGCTGTTGGAGTTGGTAACGGTCACCACCCAACTATTTTCTGTGACGACAATTTGCTCAGAAAATCAAGGCCACGAAAGGTAATTTGATCGTGAAAAGATGAAGGTCATTAAATGTCATAGACCTCATAGCCGAAAGCAGTTCGGCTGCAGGAAATGTGTGTATAAGGCATATTGTGATTCCAGAACGCTTACCACTGGCACGAGCTGTTCTACCAGCAACAAATACGCTTCAAAGAGTTACTTGCCGAGGTATAAACAGCACGAAATTCCCCAGTAATACGGTAATCGAATGTCGTATTACGCCGAACTATCGTGCATCCTGGGGAGACCTGAATTGAACTGACCTTTGGGTGTCATGGTTGATGTGAAAATCTGGTAGAATAGAGTGATTTTAAACACCGCTTTTATAAAGCTCCGTATGCTCTCGCTCTTATCGTGACTTGCTTGGCTACATTCGATAGTGCGCGTCTGTCCAAGTAACTTAAACTTATGGGTGGTAAGAGCTCGAAAAACGACTGTCGTGTTATTTCAAAATTGTGCTGTACTGCTTGACCTGGTAAAATCTGGTTTCCAGGATTTCGTTTTTTACTACCAAACTCCTATTTGCCGTTTCAGAACTCATGCCTTGGTCGAGCTCTTTTCAATCAAGTTATTGAACGGTTGAATGGGATTGTTGCGAAAGACTACTTCGGCTTGAGGTACCTTGACCGAAACAAACAGCGCGTAAGTCCTTTTGACAGTCAGCCCATTCTACGTTCCAACCTTTTTCCTTCTGGTCTGTGTGGTTTTGTCTCCTTGTCCCACTCACAGTTGTTGCCACGACAACCAGCTGGGCGTCTGTGATGACTTCAGTGTAATCAGGAAACGGTTAATGCAATACACCCAGTCTAGTTTCTACCCGATTGTTTTGCTAACACCACGCAGCTACACAACACCAGCCCACTTAATCTGGTCTATCGAGCTACCGGAGAGTACACTTTTGACGGATTATTGGTCGCGTATGTCATCCTAAAACGACCTCACTGGAAAAATGCAGCGAGGACGCATGCGCGAACATATCTTACAATTTCTAATAAAGTTATGAGATGTCGGGAAGCGTTACTGGGTCGATTTACAAGTAGACTGAGAATGAACTATCCCTTTATCGTTGAGTAACCACTAGTTAACGGTAACTTTTCGATAACGTGACTAATCTAGGCACATCGCTGGTGATGAAGTTTCGCTGATAGGCGAATTTAATAATCCGCCCGGAAATTCAGCATGAAGCTCCCGGTAAAAGCCGAATACCACCTGCAGAAAAGCTTGCTTGTAACCGGAGAATTAGTTGTTCAGAACTAAACATTAAGGCGTTAGAGCACTGCTTCATTGAGACGAGTTTACAAGGCCTGACAAAGTCGTTGACGGTTGGTACCACAATTTAGAACAACAGCGGCAGGATTTCCGCTCGACTTGGCTTGTCTGTCCAGTCAAGCCTCGCCCAAAACGAATTCCGTACCCTTAGAGCAAATCTGCTGTGATGCAGTGCATAACATTGATGAGAGAAAACCAAAAGTCGAAAGATATCACAACCAATACGTTTTTATAAGATGTGGCTTTTGAAATCCACCCTAATGGGCTTTTACTCTGCTAGAGTTCATTGAATAGTAAAACGGAATCTGGAACCAATGTAAACAGGCGAAGGGACTCTGAATATGTTGACCTGACGGAATCGTAATGACCTCATAGCAGTTCGAAATGCACCATTATTTCGCAATCGAGAACAAAGTTAAAGTGACCCATTGTATTCCAGTATCTGTCGAGTTCTAGGCATTTCCAATGGATGTAGCAAGTTACTATTAGGAGCTGTAAGCTTTTATGACGAATACACCTTGAAAACATCGATCCGATGGGCCCACAGTCCATCCAGCAGGCATCTTAATGAAAACAGTTGGAATGTATAGAGGAAAATGTCAGTAATTCAGGTAGCGTAGATGGTGGTCGTTGGCTTGTTCGCTGGACTGGGCACAACCACCAACCCACCGCTACGCACTACTACGCTCTACAATAACGCACTGATGATGTCACCTCGATTGTTGATGAAACGTTTGCAATCAAACTGCCAAGTTCAGTGAACAAACCAACGACCACCACAGATAGAATGACCATGTGCTAATGGGCGCCAAGATAATGACTGTAACATATTGTACGGTGGAAACCTGATAAGACTGACAGTTGAGATGTATACCTCGCTGATGCTCATGTCATCTTGTTTAACCGGCTGATATTTTTTTAGTAGGTCACTACATGTTCGCCTCCGTATCTTGGCCCATCCGGGCTAACTCCATTGTACTAAGAACTTGCTAGCATTGCCATAGGTGGCTCAGCGCCAACTCTCTGTGTCCGTCCTATGTCAACCGTCAAACTCGACTCGGATGATAGCCGTCCATCAAAATCCGGGTATTTTGTTCGGGGCTGGTTAGGCAATGTGAGATTGATAAATAACCCGGGAGCAGAATGACCAGATAGGACAAATAGTTTGTACTTTTCTGCATCTTCCTCTATGCATTCAAGGTCATTGTATATCACTGGAACTTTTAACTGGGCTGATGTTAAATACTTTCTTACGAATCCTTCCAAAACAGTCGTTTGCCGAATTCGGGAGAGGTTAGAGAACTATTCTGTTCATCCTTCCGGATAGGTAGGT